TGCATGACCTTGATTCTTACCTTTCATATACTGAGAATACTCTCTTATCTAGATTCAACCTATTTTGGATTCACACATTGCTAACAGAATTATTCATAATAACAGACTTCTAAGAAAACAATTTCAGGTTCTTCTTGTTAGACAATTATCATTAGCTACAAAGTACTAGATGACTCCAGCTCCTCAGCTAGATCATTACATGCATATTCCATTTGATTCAGAATAAACGTCACACACTCCTCCACTCAAGTTCTCAACTATAATTATTAAAGTCTAAAGAACCAGCTCTGAATAAAATTAAAGAAAAAAAAACCACAAACTTTCATGTTTTGTAAAAGTTGAATCAAGTACCAAAAGATTTAAGTCTGAGGGGAGAGTTACGTTTTTTGGGGGGGTTCTTGTTATTGTATGTAATAAGGTATGTAGATCAGGAATTAAGAGTGGTGTCAAAATGCTACATGGAATAAAGTTTGCAATTTTTCTATTTCAGCACAAGTTAAAGGAAAAAATGTTTCTGATACTTCTTTTGAATTATATGCAGTCCACTTAGTTATAAACTAGCATTTATTGCCTCAATACGAGAGTGGAAGGACTCCTGTTTGATCTTACCTTATGCTGCAGCACATTAGGGGATCCTATTCTTTTCCTGCTGGTACCTATGGGTACCTCATAGTCAGCTGAATCCCAAGGCACTTCTTTAAATTGTCTATGGCATGCACCAGCAGCCTAACAGGCAGCAAAATTATGCATGTACAGTGTCCTATAGCTGGAATAAATTAGTTGCATATAGAAATCTCACCTATTGACTTAATCATTTTCTTATACAGCTTGTATTTCCATTTTCTCCATTTTTACTTTGTGGGAAAGCAGATATGAACCTCGCTGATTTGATCTAAGGTAAAGATGTGCATAAACTTCTACAGCGCAGATGTCTCTGATTATGGCTTTTACATAGCCATTGTGAAAGGAGCCAGAATTTACCCCAACATATATTTCCATGTAGCAATAGGCATGAGGGCACTGATGAAACAGTATTCACTGTGATACTAAAATTTAATAAAGAAGAAAAATGCTTTGATTTCTTTCAGTGATCCATATCATTATTCAGCATGGAGAATTCATCTATTAAAACACTTAGCAGTACCTTGCCTGTTGATAGCAGCAGACTGTTGCTTTCTCTGGAAGAATAAGATAGCTGTGATTTCTGCTTCATACCTGCTGCCTGCCTTCATTGCACTTGCAGCATCAGTTTTATTTGTAATATCAGTATCTAACACACAACTCAGGAAGCATTTTCTCTTTAGTTGTTGTCTCAGGAAAGCTGTCTGACCTAGTCAGCTCTCAATCACTTAAAGCAAGATCTTTGCACTGCTAGCTTTGATCTCCCTATTCTTTAGAAAGAAAAATTGAGAGTGCTGACATAAAGAGATTAAATCATATTAAACTGAATCAAAGAAATTGTCACCTTTACTACTTACTAGGAAAAGACCAGGAAAGCAATATTCTTGCCTAAATTGGGTTTAGACTGATCTAGGAGTTGAGCAGTTCCAGCAAGAGTCAGATTCAATTCCCTAATTTATGAGACTTCAGACCCCAATGATTCAAATTTCACAAGGACAAAAAAGCTCAAGAAGTACCCAATTTCTCTATTACACATCTTCCACTACCCTGGGGGAAATTTATTATCTTTGGTCATGATGGAAACAAAGCAGAGAAATAAGTTCTTTCTTTTCAGGACAAAAATCTATACAGAAATTTAATATGTAGCAGGATTCAAAATGACAATTCATGAGTTTTGCCATAGTGTCCACTACTACCACCACCCCTCCACCTCCACTAAATTTGTGGTCCTTTGATTTAAGGTTCAGACCTACAGTTTATTTTTGCCCACCTCATTCTATAATTGTGTGAAAATAAAGTTAGGGCCTGAAATAATCTGTTCTATGGTTGGCAGAAGCCCTTCTTTTGACTTAGATAGTGGAATAGCCCCTTAAGAGGATGAAAATCATCTCCTAAGACTTAGTGTTGAGCATTTCAGACATTCAGTTGATTTTCTAATTTTGAGCTTAATTCTACTTTATCATTCGGGGTGAAGGGCACACTTTCATCCTCAGAGAAATTTTCAGTTGAAAAAAACATGAAGCTTCCCTAACAAAAATCTCACGAGAGAAGCTATTGTTTAAAATCCTCAGCTGTCTTTGATTAAAAATCCAGGGATGTTAGAAGAAGAGATATTTCTGCATGATTTATGAATTCAAGGATTCTTTCATCATTAACGTATAAATGACCTTTTCTATCCAGCCTCCTAGTTTAGGAATTATTTTTTAAAAATAAATAAAGGAAAAAAATCCCCAAACCTACAAAATACTTTTCTTGAAACTTACATAATTCAGGAATGCAGCAAGTCAAGGAGAGGGAAAATATCCTCTGAGACAGAACCCAGTACACTGGAACTCAATTAGATTTTGACCTTCTTCAGCCATAAAGGATTGGTAGACAGACATTGTTTGCTACTTGCCTGAATTAAATTGGGTCTCCTGAGATGCATATGAAGCAATTTAAAAAAAGAAAAACACTGTTAACTGAATTTACTCAACCATCAATCTGAAGTAAACCTTATTTACTGTATTCATCTATTAAACTAATATAATCTTTCACATTTTAATCAGAAAAAATGACATTTAATTAGTGTTACACAGCCAAACACTGAAAAAGCTCCCCTATCTAAGCGTTCAGCTAGGCCACCGTTTTTCAGTCTCACCACAGTGAGTCTTGTATGCTTTTATGCTTCCCTTGGTCCAAGTGAGCTGCAGGACTGTTTTATTAATTCAACTCCCTGGCACACTTCCGAAGCAGGAATAGGCACTTTTGTCACAATGGGACCTTCTGGCTCAGCTGCCTTACACCCTGAGAATTGGCACCATCTCCTTTCCCAAATCCTTCCTCTAAATTTCCTTGTGTACAGTTCATTTTTTTTAAGGACTTGTGATGATTGAGAGAGAGATATTAGTTTATAAAAACAAAACAAAAATGAAAGAAAGCCAATCAGTCATAATGTCAGCAATTTACAGACCTAGACGTACAAATAGGAAAAAAAAAAAAGCACTGTGTACATGTTCTTGCCATTCTTTTTTTTTTTTCATCTGAGCAAGAGCTCCAGATATGTTCTCCTGTTGAGTGGTTTCAGACTATGACTCAAAGATGCTTGGCTGTGCCTCATACATTCAGCTTCTTCCACCCCAAGATCCTGAAATTAAGCAGGACACTTTTATGACAGCATATTCCTGTTTCTGCTCAAATTTCCGGCATCTGCCTTCTTTTTCTTTCACCTCTACTACTTCTTTCACACTCTGCTTTGTAAAATTGACTTTTTTTTTGTTCTGATTAGGGACCTTAGAAACTTTCCATTCCCAGCCTCATACAGAAATTAAAGATAACTGGCAGAGTTCTGATATTATGCAGCAGACTTTACAGACCAAGCCATTCTAATGATAAAGCAGTTTCATAAGCTCACTTCACTCTGATCCATATGTACATGCAGACCAAGTCTGTAAATCTTCACTTTTTTTTTTTTTCCAGGATTTAATTTCACCTTTATAGAAACAGGTAACCAGAATTCTGACTTTAAAAAAGCATAGTGGGCCAAAAACACACCAACAAATCAGGCCTCAATAAACAGTCTTCTGAGACGGCTTGCAAAGCCTAAAACACAAATATATATTTTTTAATATCTCATCATTGTACAGCAGGGAATTAGAGCAGCAGCACTGCAAAATTGTCCATTTAAAATCAAATTCTTCCATCTCAAAGCGCACTTCCCCCTCCCCTGCCCACCCCAGAATAATATTGCAGCAATTCACTTCTAAGTCACCAGTTCTACAATTTCCACTGTCAAATAACATAGTCCAATAAAAATGGCATCAGCCGCTTTTCACAGGAGGCCCAAAGACTTGTTTTGGAAGAGGCAGCAGTTTACTCCAAAATGTTTTTGTAATTTTCTTCTCCCACCACAATACACAAGGAGATTTTATTCATTAAATGTTCACTTCTTTTACACGTGTATAGGCCGAAGGCTGTGGCATGAGCTTGTCTGAAGTATCTAGCATCATAATATACATTTATTGAACAGTTTATTGATCAATGTCTGAATGCTTATCTTATTTTAACATGCTCATTAAACAGAATTTTGACATTCTTTTTCAGGAAAAAAAAAAAAAGAAAGAAAAATATGAGAAAAAGGAAACAAATCATTAAAAAGATACTTGAGAATTCCTCCAGCAGCAAGCTACAAGCATAAGGGAAAACTCATTGTCAAGTATGATTTATGAAACCTTGTTAAATTTACTTAAGATAACTGGGAGGCAGACTAGTACACTAATAACCTCTTTAACATAAAACCTTATGGAATGTAGTGCATCCTTTATACAATAAAAAGGCTAATTTAGCGTGTCACAACACAGAACTGAATTGATACGGAAGTCAAAAGGCTTTCAATTTGTGCTATTAAATACAAATATTGTGTGATAGCCTATCTATTGCTACCATTCAATGGGTTTTTCTTGCCTTGTCATGTAAAAATGAGATGTTAAGTATGCATGCAAGAGAAGATTACTGTACTCAAATGATTGTAGATCGACCACAAAAAAAAATCTGCTATGAACTCTGACATTTCAGATCAGCTTTTTTTTTTTTTTTTTTTTTTTTTTTTTTTTTACACAAAGCTTCATTAATTTTGGCCATTTATATTATAAAATTGCGGTTAATTAAAAAGCATTACTTTTTGGCAGATTTTTGGTCTGCATATAACCAGTTTCTTGTTTTACTGAGAATTGGTAGTATTCCTTCTGGCCTACAAATACAAACTCACCTCTGCTTCTACTATTTGTTTCTCACACAGAAGTTGTTAACAGCTGAAAAATTATTGCATGTAAAATGCACGTATATATACACAAACACACACACACACATATATGCTGCTGAAGCTGTATCCTATTCTGAGCCTAGACTGGCAGGCGGTCATGATGAACAACAGGAGACTCTTGTGAAGAATGCGAGACTCCTTGCTGTTGTCTAGCAAAATTAATGAATACCTGTAAGACATGGAAAAAAGCAGGACTTTAAAAATAACAGTACTTGAACTGAAACTTTGGAGACATAGCTGATATTTTTCAGTTGCTGTCCTAAGTTTTTGTGACACAAAAATTAACATTTATGTTCAGAGTTATGTTTTCTAAACTCTAGAAATAATCCCTCTTCACCTCTCCAGCTAACATAGTGGTTGATGAATTATAAAAATAATGGTAAAATGAGTTACTAACTTAAGTATGAAAATTATATTTTACTGCTGCACAAGTTAGTGGGAAACAATTGTTTTAATTTGCTTTGAAATGACACACCTAAGGAACTTGAGTCTGCTGTTTCTATCAATAATCATCACAGATGAGGGTCCGGATATTTCAAGGTGAAAGTATACTTCTGAACATTGCAGAGTGATGACTCAACAACTAATATGCCTCCTTGATTTTTTTTTTTAAACAGATCTTACTACACAAAGGCTTGTTTGCTTTTTAATCACACAACTATTTGACAGCAAGGAATGGAGAGTGAAAAATGGCAAGTCTTGATTCAAATGATCATATTCATATGCAAATAAGCTTGGGATGCATTATAAGAGTGTTTGTTATTCAGAACTATTTTCCTACTTAAAACTGACATTCAGTTAGTCAGGGAGAGGAAACAAGGATAGGTGACTGAGGTGATGAATCACCATGAATAATGGAGAGGAAGTAAGCTTGAGTGAACAAGCCTGAACAATCAACAGGCTGAAGTTACCTTATATTCAGTCATTCAGTGAATAGATCATTTACAAGCAGTTAATAGATGAGAACAGATCAGAGTATTTCATTAATGATTTGCACATGGGGAAAAAGGAATAAGTTCTACACTATTTATCATGGAAAATTAATATTTTGGCTAGATGTGACTCTCTCAGTTTGTAGAATACATAACAAGAAGTTGCATATGAAGATGCTTTAACACATGACAACCACCCAGAAACCCCATGCTTGCCATCATTCTGTTCTTCCTTCTGCCCAGTTAGGATTTCACAGTCTTTAGAAATGGAATCTCTTTTGTCTGCTTGTGCATTTCCACTGTTCTCTAATGTGTAACATGATACTCACTGCAAAAGAAAATTCTCAAAGGAAAATATCCCATAAGTCTACGGTTTACTGTAATTTGCAGAGACTGGTTCAGCCTTTTCAAGGACATTGGTAAGATCCCAACTTTTGGACCGTGAAGAGGGCAGTTCACATTCCCACCTTCTCATCCCACACAGATCTAGATGTATCTACGCACTGATTATGCTTGTGCACAGTACAAATATGTGGCTTATTGTGATGCTTTTGCTGTGCTAACCTCCAGTGTAAAAGCAGTAAGGTTTATGAAATTACTGCATAGACATGAGATGGCCTAAAACTGCCCGTTTGTCGCATACATTTGGGTAATCCAGCAAATGATATAGCATTCTACTACATCAATAATTGCAGTACACAGCATGTTCAGACAAAGGGCGGGGGGGGG